CTCGTGTAACTGTGGTCCGCTGCACGATCTTGTCCATTATCACACAAGTGATGTCTTGAGTCTGTTGTTGTGAGGCGTTCTGCGTCATCTGTAGGCAATTGATAATGGTCTCTGCCATGATCTTCACGATGGTTTGCAGCTGGACCTCGGTAAAACTGTATAGCTGGTGAGTAGATTCCGAAAGTAAGTGTTTTCTGCTCATTTGCACTTGCTGGACGTCTGCAACACTTTCGTGTAATGTCTGATTCGGAATTGACAGATTCGGGAAATTTTGCTCTGTGAGAGCGGGTGGCTGTTGTGGCTGTGCACGAGTGTTCCAGACGTTGGTGTTAGTGGATGTACCGCTGGTCAGTGTGTTGACCCTGGCCTGAGCTGTCTGCACTTTTTGTTTCCGTGCAGAGCAGGTTGTGCTCCAGGCATGATGTTTGCCTCCACAATTTGGACATTTGGCTGTTGTGGTCTGGTTTGCCTTGTGCTTGGCAATACAGTCTTTGGTGGGATGTCTCAGGCTGCACACTCCGCACCTCTCCTGTCCTGTGCAGCGTGATTGATGGTGGCCGTATTTCTGACACCTGAAGCAGCGTAGGGGTTCCGGGACGTATGGCCTCTGTCGGTATGTCCCCCAATTTCCAAGACCGAAAGTTTCCGGCACATGTCCCATGACGGTCACCAGAACCTGACGCGTCGCTGCCTTGTCTACTTTTGTGTGGCAACGTTCCGCACTCAGGACTTGCTTGTGTTCTAGCACTGGATCCAGGGGAAAGTCGATTGGGTATCCCAAAAGCACGACTCGTGTGCGTCGTTCTGAAGGGTCCAGCTTTACCAAGCACACAGGTTTCCCCTGCAGGGCTCTTACCTTCTCTAAGTAATGTGCAGTCTATTGGTCTTGAGGTGTCAGTATTATTTCTCCCTTCAGGTTGACTGTAATGGAAAGTTTGAGCTCTGGTTGTTCTTTTTCCATCGCCGTTACTACTCCATATGCTGTAGGAAAGTGGTCGGTCTGCATGATCTTGAATTTCGGAAGAAGTGCAGAGGCTGGCGATGTCTGGTGTGAGACTGGTGGTGTCCTCCCCTGTCCCATACTGCTGTCCTGCGGCTGGGCTGTGGAGAGAGGAACAATGGCCGACATTGGCTGGCGTGAAACCGGTGGTGTCCTCTCCTGACTCATACTGCCGTCCCGCGGCAGCGTTGCGGACAGAGAGGCATTGACTGACACTGGCTGGTGTGTGACTGACGCTGTCCTCTCTAGGTCCATTACGTCCGCTGACTTGCTGGTAGAAGCAAGTGGTAAAGCCTCGATAGCAGTTTTCTTTGGTGCCTGCTGCACATCGGTCCACCGTCCTTCCTCGTCCGAAAGCTGCTTCCATTCCCTCTTGCGCTGAGCCTTCCCCATGGCTCTCTACACGTAGTGAGAACCGACTCAAACCGCCGGAGCAGCAGGCGACACGTCCTCACTGCACGGTAGCTCAGGAGCAACCAAAACACGCTGTAATCTCCAAAAGTTCTTCACCGATTATTCATATATGCAACATTCCATTCATATATGCATGTCTTTAATATCCTTACTACATAGATGCCTCACCTGTGACATGTTAAAACATGTTTTTTTTTCAAACATCACCATCTGTTGCACGTAATATCAACACATGCTATATTAAATATGTTACAATTCCATTTCAATGATTTCAATTGCATTCATATGATAAATTTTCATAATTTTCGACTTATTTTCATTTTGAATGAATTCTTTTGTATTACATTGTGTTGGAAATGAGCTGTGTTGTTTACCATACCGTAAGTATAAGTATAGATGCTACAGCTGTGACTTTTAAAACATTCTTTTTTTTAAGAAACAGCGCCATCTGATGCATGTAAGAGCTACACACACTATACTAAATCTGTTACGATTCTATTTCAATGTTTCCGATAGCACTGACAATTTGAATTTTCAATGATTTTGATTTATATTCATTTTGATTTAATTATTTTGTGTGACATTGTGTTGCAATTGAGTTGTGTTGTTTACCATACCGTTCATTTGGTGAGTATTTGGTGAGTATAAGTATGGATGCTACGGGTAAAAACATGTTTTTTTTCTTAAAAACGGCGCCATCTGTTGCACATAAGAGCAACCCACGCTATACTAAATATGTTACGATTTCATTTCAATGATTCCGATTTCAATAATAAATTGAATTTGCATAGATTTCAATTTATTTTAATTTTGATTTAATTATTTTGTGTGTGACATTGCTTTAGAAGTAAGCTGTGTTGTTTACCATACCGTTCATTTCGTGAGTATAGTTTATTATTTCATTTTTTTATTTTGTTTCATTTTGTTTTTTTTAACTGATTTTCTTATATTTAAGTGATGGGAACATCAGATCATTTGGGAATGCATTGGACGAGGGAGTGGGGACTGGTGGGGAGGGCGAGGGGACATGGGAAGGGGTAATGGTGAGGAGGACGAGGGGACGAGGGAGTTGGGGATGTTGAAGACAAGCGAAAAGGGGAATGGAGAATGGTGGGGAGGACAAGGGGACAGGGGAATGGTAGGGAGGACGAGGGGACTGGGGAGAGGGAGATGGTGGGGAGGATGAGGGGACAGGGGAGTGTGGACTGGTTGGGAGGACGAGGGGATGGGTAAGGGGGAATGGTGGGGAGGACTGGGAGTCACAGCAAAGCACATGCATTGCTGAGTCACAGCAACAACTGGCCGGGTACAGTTAATATATAATAAGACTGTGTTTTGTTTTTATGGGGACAATGTCATAGGGACATTAATTTTGAGTGTGAGTGGAACACATGGATGAGCTTCGAGGAGTTCAGTGTTCCTCTCCTGAAAGTCTGAAACTTCAGTCTATGTACTGTATTTGAAGTAGTGGGTTTCAGGTTCTTGTTGGAACATGTGGATAGCTAATGAAGAGTCAATGATTTTTGCTAGCTAGATTTTGTTGAAAGATTAGGGATATTACATTTAGTTATATCAGGTCAGGGTTTTGATGTTTGGATGTTTTGGTTTTCAGATGCATTGGGAAATTGCTGGACTGTCAGCCTAACAGTCAAGATGCATATGCAGGGATCTACATTTTTATGGTTATTGTGTTGCAGTCAGCTGATTGTAGTGATATTAAGAAGGGTTGATTTTTTGAGGCATTGGTTAAACATTTTTGTTATAATGTAATGGGTTTGGATGAGAAACCTCATGTTTTAATGCTATTAAAACAAGGTTTATTAAATCTACTTGCATGGGGGGGAGGGGTAAGGTTGTAAAAGTTTAACTGTTGATTTAAATGATGGAGTCTTGTATTTAAATGTATTGCATAGTACAACAGGAGCATATTCTAGTTCTGAGAGGCAGAGGGAGTTTGGTACCTGGAAGTTGGTAAAGGGATCATTCCCAGGGAGACCTGAGTGCTGGAGGGCTTAAGCACAATTGTCATATCTTGCCTGTGAGGATCATTCATCAATTTAGAGGAATTCATACATTAAAGGGTATTGCAGTATTCAATCTTGTTTAAGAACTTATGTTAGTTTAACATGAAGGTAGAGTAAAGATCCAGTCTTGTATGTTGTCAAAGAGAAAGTCATTTAGAATAGGGACAAGTTCGATCTGGTTTGGCTGGCCTCTTGACTCATCCTGGGTCAAGGAGGTCTGGTGGCCGGGAAGACCCCCGGGTCAAGGAGGTCTGGTGGCCGGGAAGACCCCCGGGTCAAGGAGGTCTGGTGGCCAAGAAGACCACAATCTTCCGTGTTGTTAATACTTAAATTAAAAATTCAGGGCACTGTTCAGTATTGTAATTGAGAATATCCGTGCTCAAGAACCTATGTAATTACCATCAGTTTCAATAGGAATTCAATCACCTGGGGTGTCCAGTAAATAAGATTAGCTTTTTCAATTACCTCTGCTACCTAGTTTGGCAGCCAGTAGCTTGATGGAGTGATCCTAGTTCAACTTCACAGCTTGGAGGCCAGAGAGTAAGCTAGTGTTGCTGTGAAAATCAAAGAGCCAAGACCTTCCCCTAAATCAGGCAGTGCATCTCGCCGAGCTTATGTTATTTTAGGGAAAAAGATCTGTCTGTTTGTTTTGAGGGCAGTTGTAGAATCCACATTATTTTGTAGTACATAACATTGCCTCTATTTTAGGAAGAATTTCAGTTGAATATATTTGCACTTCTGGGAGCGTTCCTTTAACATCTCTTCATAAAATAGATGATTAATTGAAGGAAGTCTATTGTGTAGTGAACTTCCCACCCATTTATATTTTCCTTGTGTGTTTTTTTTTTGAGTAAACTCCAGTAAACTTTACAAACATCCCTCAGTTTTTTTAATATATATTATAATATCTTTCGTAACTTAGTTAATTCCACACATTTAAAGTAATCTCATCCCTCCTTTCGGATAACTGGGGATCTACTTTCGGACATTATGCCCAATTGACAGTTTCCTACTTCACCGTCAATTGGGGGGAATTATTCAATGGCTTGAATGAAGACGGTGGTGGCGATTTCAGAGTTTGTAGTGTATGACAGAAGGTACAGTGTCTTCGGGTCGTTTAATATCTAAGCGATCAAACGTTTTTGATTCAAGGAGTTGGACGGAAGGTTACTTGGAGAACTTTGGGATAATTAGAACTAATAACGATCAGAATTTAACCAGTTTAAGTGAGGTTAAAGGCTGGCCTCCCGTTATATACACCTGACACAGGAGCAGGTGTATATAACCATCCTGGAGCAAGTGCATGTAACCATCTTGGAGCAGATGTATAAAACCATCTTCGAGCAGGTGTATATAACCATCTTGGAGCAGGTGTATACCCCAATCCCGTAGCATATGTATAAAACCATCTTCAACCAGGTGTATATAACCAAGCATATATATGTATATATCCATCCTGGAGTAATTATCTAGATGGTTGGTAACTTGTTAAAACCATTTTTATCTCTGAAATGACCTTAGATTTTCTAAAACAATAATGTTCGTTTTCTTTGAATCATCAGATGTGCAGCAAGAGCGAGATGGAAGAGATGGCTTTAAAGATGCTGGACAAGGCATTTAAACCCGGACTGGAACCCCATCAGGTCATCGCTGTATACAATGAGTGGTGCAAGACTTATGAAGAGGTTAGTAATAACTGTTATTTTTGTTCATAAGACCAATATATATATATATATATATGTTAATTTGCCCTTTGTTCAGGAACCATAATATCATATTCGCCCATGGCGACTCTCTTTGATTTCAGCAAACTTAAAAATAGTTTACTGACTTCTTTTCGTCATTAGATTAGCTTTTGACAGTAGCGTTTTAAGTGTAAACTAAACTTCGCCAAAAAAAAAATCTATCACACCCTATTCACGGATGTCGTTGGTAAGTGTAAATACCATAACTAAAATACCCATTTTACTTATGTCATGAACTCATGAACCCAGCATCGCTGGCCAATTTCAATCAAGAGTCTAGGGGAAATTAATAAAAAAGGCTGGGATACAACAACGCCAGTTTACTGGGGCATATAATTAGGTCACCGTAAAACTAACATATATACGTAACTGATGTACATTAAAGCTAATACTTTCAAGAAAGTATCTTCAGAAAGAAGATAGCTTCACACACAGCTCAACTAGTCACATATATCAGTTGTCACTCAACTGTAATCAACTACCAAATCAGCTATGAAGTTAGTGGCAAACTCGGTCAACTATCAGTTAACCTACACATCAGTTAACAACTCTGAAACAAATCAATATTGAATCAGCTATCATATCAGTAACTTCTTATACATAGGTATAGCTGACACCAGGCTCCCACCTGGCGCAGTGGTACACTATCCTACATAACAGTTGGGAAGGGTGACGCTTACAGGTGGGCAAAGGAATCAGGCACATTCTGTAATACTGTAACAATACTCTATACTCCTTAAATACCCACAATCACCTCCCATCTGACCTACTGATAACTCGGTTATCCTGATCCATTTACAAAGCATTACTCTCGGAAACTCAACATTAAGAAATGAATGCACAATATAAAATAATCTACTATACAACTAGAGGACTAGACGTATGACGTCTGCCTCTCTGGGAAAACAAAGGAGTAGTGACACAAACTTTAAAGCTAATTTGCTAGTGGAGTTGACAGTTGAGTGATAACTGATTTATGTGACTGTGTGTGAAGCTCTCTTCTGTCTGATGAAAGTATCAGCTATAGTGTGCATCAGTTAGGTATATATGCTAGTTTAACGCCATTTTTATTAAGTCCCCTAAACTCTTGATTGAAATTGGCCAGGCTATGGTTGGCCAGCGATGCTGGGTTCATGAGGTCACGACACCCACACTCTTCAGCTCCTGACTCACAGACGGCAGCTCCTGACCCACAGAAGACAGCTCCTGACCTATAGACGGCAGCTCATGAGCCACAGACGGCAGCTCCTGACCCAGAGACGGCAGATCCTGACCCACAGACGGCAGCTCTTGACCCACAGACGGCAGCTCCTGACCCACAGACGGCAGCTTCTGACCCACAGACGGCAGCTCCTGACCCACAGACGACAGCTCCTGACCCACAGACGGCAGCTCCTGACCCACAGACGGCAGCTTCTGACCACAGACGGCAGCTCCTGACCCCCAAACTATTGCTCCTGACCCACAGACGGCAGCTCCTGACCCACAGACGGCAGCTCCTGACCCACAGACGGCAGCTCCTGACCCACAGACGGCAGCTCCTGACCCACAGACGGCAGCTCCTGACCCACAGACGGCAGCTCCTGACCCACAGACGGCAGCTCCTGACCCACAGACGGCAGCTCCTGACCCACAGACGGCAGCTCTTGACCCACAGACGGCAGCTCCTGACCCACAGACGGCAGCTTCTGACCCACAGACGGCAGCTCCTGACCCACAGACGACAGCTCCTCACCCACAGACGGCAGCTCCTGACCCACAGACGGCAGCTTCTGACCCACAGACGGCAGCTCCTGACCCCCAAACTATTGCTCCTGACCCCCAAACTATTGCTCCAGACCCACAGACGGCAGCTCCTGACCCACAGACGGCAGCTCCTGACCCACAGACGGCAGCTCCTGACCCACAGATGGCAGCTCCTGACCCACAGATGGCAGCTCCTGACCCACAGACGGCAGCTCCTGACCCACAGACGGAAGCTCCTGCCCCACAGACGGCAGATCCTGACCCACAGACGGCAGCTCCTGACCCACAGACGGCAGCTCCTGACCCATAGACGGCAGCTCCTGACCCATAGATGGCAGATCTTGTCCCACAGACAGTAGCTCGTCACATTAGTTCCTGATCCACTTTTCCCACTGTCAAGTCGTGACAATGTATTCTGCTTCAGAATAATTTAACAGCTTTAGACTTCTTATGACTGCTGACCTGAGCCCCTGACCCACTGCTGATAATTCTTGACGCTTAGACGATAGTTTCTGACGCATTGACGAATCCTACTGACGCAATGACGAAAGATCCTGTTCAACTAATTACTAATTCTACAATGCTCAATGCTGCAATGTTCATTGAGACAATGCTACAAAGTTACAATGCTAAAATGCTTCAATGGTACAATGCTAAAATGCTTCATTTCTAAAATGTTTTAATGCTACAACGCTAGAGAAGAGTTTCTGACGCTGCGAGGGAGCACACAACCAACTGACTACTGCATTTGAGGTAATGGCGGAAGCTCTCGAACACTGACAACAGATCCTGATTCATCAGCACCAGATTCTGACCCGCTGACAACAGCTCGCGAAACATATATAAGCTCAAGCTTTTGACTCACTCATAGCAGCTCCTGATACTTAAGTAACAGTTGCTGATCCACTGACAGCAGCTTTTGTCTCACTGACAACAGCTTCCGAACCACTGATAATAGCTACTGATAAATATACACCAGCTTCTGGCCACTGACAACAGCTTCTGGTATACAAACACTAGCTTCTGACCTACTAATAACAGCGCCTGATACATAAGCACCATCCTTTGATCCACTGACAACAGCTCGTGACACTTAAGTAAGATTTTCTGATCCACTGACGACAGCTCCTTATACTTTTTAAGAAGAACATAGGAACAAAGGTAACTGCAGAAGGCCTATTGGCCCATACGAGGCAGCTCCTACTTATAACCACCCAATCCCACTCATATACATGTACAACCCTTATGTTGCTGATATATAAACACTAGCTTCTGAGGCACTGACAATAGCCCCTGATACATTAACCCCAACTTATGTGCCAGCTTCTAACCCACGACCAACAGCTTTAAGACCTACTTACAACAGCTACTGATACATAGACACCAGATTCTAACCCACGACCAACAGCTTAAGACCTACTTACAACAGCTACTGATACATAGACACCAGATTCTAACCCACGACCAACAGCTTAAGACCTACTTACAACAGCTACTGATACATACACACCAGCTAAAATTTTTAAGAAGACGCCTTAGGCAGGAGGTCTCCCAGAAGTCTGGAATAAGGCTAATATTGTCCCTATATAAAAAAAAAAGAATGAGGAGAGACGGATGTATTAAATTACAGACTCTTGTTATCGAAAAATTTTTAGTGTAAAGTAAAGTATTTAGGTCGAGAATGGTGTATCAGGAGACGACAACTAGATAAGAAAAATGTCATTGTGGATTTAGAAATGGAAAAAACGTACACGATAAACTTCCTTGTGTTCTATGACATGATTATTAAAATATGACTGGAAGAGGAAAAGTGGCTAAACTATTTTCTTTGATGATCAACAAGCATTTGCCAGGTTTTTCCTCATAAAAGGCCGGTGCAAACGATGGAGAAGCAAGCTGGAATTACTGGGAAAACACTGAACTGAATGGGAAAGAACCTGAAGGACAGAAAACAAAGATCATACAGAAGACATTTTTCAAGCTAGAGGAATGTAACAAATAGGGTTTCGAAAGGCTCAGTCTTGGGACCATTGCTGGTACTAAGTGATGTTATAGACATCTCTATCTTTAAATGTAAATGTACATCATTAAATATACGAGTGAGCTCGTACATTTAATGCTTACAGATGACACAAAGCTGACGAGGAGTATACAAAGAGAGGAGAAATACAGGAAGTTACAGTAGAACCAAGATAAACTTCAAGAGTGAGCGAACAATTGGTAGCTGGAATTCACTAAGGTTATAAAGATGGAAAAGGAAAAGAAGAGACCATCATGCATTAACCCCATAAGGGGAAGACAACTAACAAGAATTGGAATAAGAAAAAAATTTCAGAGTGGATATAATTAAAATACTAACACAAACGGCACACATACACAGGGTAACATCGGCAGTATATTAAACGTTGCCAAATATAAGAACGTCGTTTAAAAACCTAAATCAGGACGCCTTCGAGGCAATCTACTCAACAGTTATTAAATCAGTACTGGAGTATGCAGCAGCAGCAGCATGGAATCCTCACAATGTGACGAATAATATCAAAGTTTTAAAAATACGAAGTTTTGCAACAGGATTGTGCCAGATCTGTCAGTGTTAAGCTATGAGGATAGGCTAATAGAACCAAATATTACACCCCTAGATGATGCTAAAATGAGTTAGAGTATAATCATAACATACAAGATTCAGTGGTTACCTTGCAGAGATTCCGAGGATCAATGTACCCGCGGCCCGGTTTCTGACCACGTCTTCCGTTTGGTGACCTGGTTAACCTGGCTGATGGACGTGGCTGCTCGCAGCATGAAGTATGAATCACAGCCTGGCTGATCGGGTATCATTTGTCGAATTCTCTTTTGAACACCGTTGGGGGGGGGGGGAGGGACACTAATTCTTCCAAGACCCAAACTACACATAAATTAAAAAAAATGAATATCATGAGTGGCCGGCCAGTTATGCCCAATATGTTCTCTCTCTCAGACTGCCTATTGCCCTCCTGCTTCTCAACGGGGGTAAGGACAAGTAGTACAGTCGGGACAGAAATGGTTGGGCACATTTCCTTTCACCTAGCAGCAAATAGGTGCTCAGGAGTTAGTCAGCTTGTTGTAGGGTTGCAGCCTGGGTGGGGTCAGTAATTTGCCCTGGGGAATGGAGTGGCGGGGGGATGGGGGGGAGGGGACCTCGATAAAACGTGAATGACACAGTGAATTATTATTATTATTATGCACATCCTACCATTCCTCCTGGTCTCATGAGAAAAAGTAGGACAATAGGACATTAATGGAAGATGGAAATTCAAATGACCCGAAGGAACATAAGGAAAGACTCGTACTCTGCACTGGTGCTCAATATGTGGAATATGCTGAACAAGAGGTGGTTGTGGAAGATTTGACAAAGGATCTGAACGACTGAATAGTTAAATATTAATACGACAGGTACAGCAAGGATAGTAGGTTGGGCAGCTGGACCTTACTTCCCCGTAGACACTGATAGGTAAACACAGAGCCACTACAGTTGACGACATAAAACTAATAATCGAAAAAGGCAGATGTTTGCTACTAGATTACTGCCAGAGTTTAAATGGTTAAGTTATGAGGATTGGCTGAAAGAATGAGATCTCACAACCTTGGAGTACACAAAAAATAGAGGAGATATGATAACAACATACAAGATATTGAAGGGAATAACCAAGGTGGGCAAGGACAGCCTCCTTAAGTTGAGACAGAAGGACAAGAAGTGGACGACGGAATCGCAAAGGAGTCGAATAAACGTAAGGAAATGCTCGTACCCTGTCCGGGTGGTTAACGAGTGGAATGCACTAAGAGAAAAAGTTATGGAAGCCACCTACATTATGACCTTTAAGGAAAGGTTCGACAAAGAAAGTGGTTGTTTGTATAGTAAACCTTTTTTGCAATGGGTATAACAACGCTAATAGGTGGGGCATAAAGAGCTAGACCTCTCGTCCCCATAGTCACTGCGAGGTTAGTACTGCTGGTAAGTTCTGTTGGGTAAGTACTGTTAGGTAAGTACAATATTTATACGGAAATAACAAATACCTCAGAGGAATATATATTCAACAAAGGAGCTTGATATATTTCGTGATTTTACCCATCATGAAAGATGTTTTTGGTCACGTATTTATAAGTATAATAATAACAGTAAAGCTTGTCTGAGAGGTAATTATATTCACTTGGCCAGATGATGGCTGATGGGAGGTTCAACGGGCCCTTCATCGTTGCCGAGCACGTAGCTGAGCTGGTCCCAGAGGACCGTCGTCAACACGTCCGAGTACTCGACATTGCCGCAGGTACTGTACAATTTTGATGCAGTGCTCCTACATCTTGGTTTATTTTGAAGAGGATTTATAAAATGTTATCTTTGTTCTAGGTAAACTAAAAGAATAATTAACTGAAGAATGTATTACACTTGTTATAAATTTGCACAACGTTTCGAACCACCATGGTTCATTCTCAAGTGATTGAACTGTACTGGGCATAATTGATTTATACCATTAGGAAGGACAGTAACATATAAATACAAATAGGTGAAGTGTAAGGCAGAAGAGGATGAAGAGTAAGGCATAAAGAACGAAGAACAAAGCAAAAAAGCAGTGTTGTGTAGTGTGGAGAAGTGGTGGGAAGGGCAGTGTACTCACCTAATTGTGCTTGCACGGGTTGAGCTCTGGCTCTTTGGTCCCACCTCTCAACCGTCAATCAACAGGTGTACAGGTTCCTGAGCCTATTGGGCCTTAGGAGTGTGGAGGAGTGGTGGGAAGAGCATTGTTGTGTGGTGTGGAGGAGTGGTGGGAAGAGCAGTGTTGTGTAGCGTGGAGGAGTGGTGGGAAGAGCAGTGTTGTGTAGCGTGGAGGAGTGGTGGGAAGAGGAGAGGAGAGCAGTGTTGTGTAGCGTAGAGGAGTGGTGGGAAGAGGAGAGGAGAGCAGTGTTGTGTAGCGTGGAGGAGTGGTGAGAAGAGGAGAGGAGAGCAGTGCTGTGTAGTGAGGAGGAGTGGTGAGAAGAGGAGAGGAGAGCAGTGCTGTGTAGTGAGGAGGAGTGGTGGGAAGAGGAGAGGAGAGCAGTGTTGTGTAGTGTGGAGGAAACACTTCCCTTGTTTGGATGTTTACTTCATGTTGATGATAGTAGAAGCACTAATTTGATCTCCATAACACTTCGTCCAAGGGAGAATTATAGGAGCTGAACTCGCTCCAGCGACTTTGGTCTTAATAATAATAATGGCTGACTCCCCACCAGTGACAACCTGGCTCTGTCGAGATGTCAATAAGTGGTAGAAGGGTCACATTTACTCTATTTTGGGAATGATAATTAAGTTAATTCAAATGAGATGTTTTATGATGTTAAAAGTCCAAAGACTGCTGTATTAAGAATAATTCCCAACAGAATAGCTGCCAAATATAATATCAATGTGGTAATGATATCCCGTTTTCTATTGAAATTTCCAGTACAGCCTACATTTTCTATGGGTTAACTTGTGTATACAACAGCAGCAATATTATCTACATATTGTATTTAATATTAGTAAATGGTGTCTGGTTTTCTGACATAATTCCCCGGGGGGCTGCTCACGGGTCGGAGTCGTATTTAAAACAGACGAACACCGATACTCCTCCTTCGAATTATTAGATTAAGGGGGCATATCAAAAAATATCGTTATAAATTAAAATTGTTCAATTTGCTTATAAATTTTTTTATGAAATGGTTATAGAAAGGGCTGCAACTGGTCCAAGTTTCACCATCACACCCTAAACAGAAAAGGAGAAAAAAAATACACAACGTATTATGCAACAAATGTTCAACATTCTCAAATAATCTCAGGGAACACATGTGTCAACTAAAATGTCTACTATGTGCTGTAGAAGCACAAACTCTTGTAATAATTGTAATATGTATGTTCAATATATTTATATTTAAAAATTTTTTTTTTGGCCAATTTTTTTTTCTCGTTTGTTATCAAGGGATTTGCATGAAACTTGCACACCTTGCTCAATGGATGCCTATCTGCAAGGGTGCCAATTATGAACGAAATCTGTCGAAGTCAAGCTCAGCTACAGGTGGCCGAACTTGGATCTTTATTTTACTCTGGAAAGTAATTTACACCTTCAAATTACTTCAGAGCTTTCATTTATTAATCAATTTACATGCAAATTACACCTTATATGTAGCGTTTGTGCTTCTACAGACTCTAGTAGACATTTTAGTCCAAAGTCTATTTGTTAATTTTATAAAAATTTATAAATATCATATATTGCATATTTTTATAGTAGGGTAACTTTGAAAAATTATATTATTGCACTAAACACTTTTTTTATAAAACTGATCACTAGAATCCTTTATTATGTGCTTAATTTAATATCTGAGTGTTATAGAAATGATTTTAGTTGACACATGTGTTCCCTGAAACTATTTGAAAATTCGTTGCATAATTCGTTGTTTATTTCTTTTCTCCTTTTCTGTTTAGGGTGTGATGATGAAACTTGGACCAGCTGCAGCCCTTTCTATAACCATTTCATAAAAAAATTTATAAGCAAATTGAACCACTTTTAATTTTACATGAATATGCCCCCTTAATTTGATGTTAGTAGTTAGTAATCACATATGTGTGCATCAGTTCGTAGAGGACGGATGTCCTATACTCTAGTTGAAAGGATTAGAAGTCTAATGCAATTTCATTTCCCTGTTAACTCTTTGGGAGGCTAAAATTCTAGTTTAATTACATATTATTTAACCCAGAGGACTGACTGTGATCAAGTACTATAGTCAAGTATGATTCAGGGACTGCAGTGAGATCAGTGGCATTAGTTATAATAACTTGAAGCTTTTTCAGGTAACTGGTCACTGATAAAAACACTGAGGCCCATGGAATTCATCTTGATTAAATAATAAATGTATCAAACTCTGTCATCGGATTTATATAGTCAGCCATGCCCCCCTTATGATTATTTGCTGGAGTTTATTTAGCTGACAAATTGGGGTTTAATTTAGTTAATTGATTCAGAGGATTGAATAGTCAATCATTAAAGTCAAGTATGGTTCTGAGATTGCAGTGGGTTCAGTGACATTGGTCATAGTGACTTGTAGCTGTTTAGGCTACTGTTTACTGATTTGCCACTGAGGCCTCATGAACACATCTTCTGCTTTAAATGATGATATTATGATCAACCTCTGTTGCTATAGTCAACTGTAATCTCCTTAATGTAATGCTACTGGAGTTGTATAATTAGCTGACAAATTTAGATTTCTACTGGTATTGTTTATCTGCAGGCATAGGTCTCCTTAGGCTTAATACTGGGCCTGAGAGTAATTTACCTTCTCCAGAATTTAACATGGTTATGCCTAATATTTAGTGGGGCTACCAATGGTAGTAGTCTGTACTTACAAGGATACCAAAATCGGTGAGGTGATCAGACTTAATATTATCTGCCAATTTTATTCCTCTATTTGTCAGGAATTTGGTAGTAGCTCCCAGACCTTGCACTTGTAGGTCTGCTGGAATTTTGTCCACCACGATAGCATGTACTTGACAGACGTAGCTGCCAAATTGTACTAATGGTTGTACCACCTGGTAAACTTGAGGTCCTGTATCTGTTAGAAACCATGAGATATTGATTGTCATCTGGGCTACAGGCCTTAATTGCAGTTCATCTGCCAACATTTAAGTGACATGTTCTCTGGGACCCTTGGTCAAACAACCCAGGGGTATGGACCTTGACCCTCTTATTCTGGATGGCAATTTGGCAGTAGGCAAACTCGTATTCCCTTTGGACTCTGTCGATTGGTCACTAATTGTTTGTTGCACCTTGCAGTACTGTACTGTGGTGGGAATGTTATCTTCCACCTTGGGTTTGGAGACTTTATTTTGGTGTCTCCGCACAGTACTACATGGTGCTGACTCTTGTAACACCTATTACAGGTGTGCAATTGGGTCTCACAGTCTATGATGTTGTGTTTCCTGAGGCACCTCGTGTAATGTTGCAAATCTTTGAGGCGCTCAACACGGGCGTCACTATCAGGAAAATTAGTCCTGTGGTACACTGAATGCTTCTCTTGGCAGAACAAACATGTTCCATAGCTTCCAGTACCCTTTGGAGTTATGGTCTTGGGTGACACAGTAACTATAGGCCTGGAGGGTCCAACTGCATATATGCCCACTCTGCCACTGTTCCACTTTGGTGTTGAATTATACTATCTAGATTGGTTTGGGGTACCTTTGGTACTCTGTTGTTTACTATTATTGGTTTCTGAAGGTTTATTTGGTGGTTTTAATTTGTCATGTATTCGTAGTTGATGAATTACTGAACGTAAGCCCCCCAGATATTTTATTCATGGATAAGATACTTTTATTGTAATGAGCACTCATTTGTCTCAATATATTCCTAGGTATTTTCTCCTGGATAATTATTTTCAAGACCCACTCAGCCCCGTTAGTATTGGCTTGAAGACTTGGAGTGAATCAGCTGAAGTCTCTGGTGGGGGTAAATTCAACAGCTCATGTACTAAATGTGATGTTCTTACTTCTGGATCAGCATAATAATCCTTGAGGAGTTGTACTGCCAGTTTATAGCCGTCGTTAGTTAATCTCAGATGGGATACTACTGTTTTAGGTTCACATGATAATTGGTCTTGCAGATAAGAGAATTTACTACTCTTAGGTAAAAAAATTTTGAGTCCAATAGGTCTACGAATTTGTTCCAAAAATCGTCGCAATCTTCCTCATCATTTCCTGAGAAAGTGGGTTAATTAATTGGAGGGAATCGAGCTTCAGCTAGACTCGGATTAGATGAAATTGTTATTGTTGCCTTGTTCTGGGCAATTATTTTCACAAAAGGTTGTAACGTGGCCTGAGTGTGGATCTTCATAACTCACTAGATCAACCATAATGTCGTCTCTTTCTGATAAATTGGTGTTGGTAAGTTCAGCCACATATGTTGCTATTTGGCATTTGATTTGCTCAAATTTACCTGTAGCAGCTTGATAATAGCTATTCAGGTCAGCATAATCAACTGGAGATTGTTGAGACAAATCCTCACATTTCTTGATCTGTCTTGTTAAGTGGTCTTTAAGACATACAAGTTTTTTTTTACATTCTTCCAGCAGTATCCATACTGGATTGCCTTGGTTAAGCCTTGTGGGGCTTGCACTTGGGTTGCTCATAATATTGAACAAGTACTGATGGAGTAGCCTAGTTTAAAATTCTACAATCATTAGGCTATAATCCTACCTCTTCTAGAGGTTAGCACTTAAAATTAACACACAAAATATATAAACATACACACTAATGATTTGAGTGATAAAC